GGGGATAATGAAGAAGGAATTCACTGCCTTGTGGGGAAGATGGAGCTTCAAAGGTTAAGGGAGATAACCCTACCAGAAAAATAAGTCTGCCTGGAGGCTTAGATGGCAGCCCCATCACAATTGGGTGCTGTAGGCTGATGATCTAAGCACCTTAACTTATTATCATCAAAGAAACTGAAGTGAAGTTATGGCCAGATAAACAGTTGACAACCTTTGGCATGAAATGGAGGATGAGAATTTGTCTGTGGAATGTAAGAACTCTGAATGAAAGTGGTAAACTGAGATAACTTATAATGGAAATGGAAGAAGACAGGTTGCACATCCTTGGTCTTGGTGGAGTTAGATGGATTGATTTTGGAGAAGGAACCAAAATGGATTCACCCTTCTGTATTCTTGAAAAGTTGGAGTAAATTCTGAGCATAAAGAGGGTGCTGGAATACTTCTTAGTAGATATGCAAGAAAGAGCCTTATAGAGTGGACTCCTGCATCTGAGAGAATTGCGATCGCTAGGTTTAAGACTAGGATCAGAAACGTAGCAGTTATTCAATGTTATGCACCAACACAAATAACTGAACTTAATATAAAAGAGGGATTCTACCAACAGTTAAAGGGTACCTTAGAGGAAGTTCCAAAAGAGAGACATAAAATTTTGATGGGTGGTATGAACGCTAAAGTGGTTCTGAACTATGAAGGTTTGGAGCAAGTCATGGGCATACATGGTCTAGGAAAAATGAATGAAAATGGCGAAATGTTTTCAAACTTCCGTGAAAGCCATGATCTAGTAATCGGAGGGACCATATTTCCACATAAGAAGTGCTATAAAGTTACATGGGTGTCACCATACCACACTACAGTAACCAAATAGATCATATTGCAATAGACAAGAAGTTCAGAACTTCTTTGAGATGTGAGAAATAAGTGAGGAGTGGGCATTGGCAGCGATCATGACTTAGTTCTAGCTAAATTTAAACTGAGGATAATGGCAGCTGGCAAGAAATTTGAAAGTAGAAGAAAGGTGGTTTAATGTGCAAAAATTAAAATTAAAAATTAAAAAGACGAGAAAGAATGCAGAATTTTTTTTCAAGTCCTTTCTATCTTTTCTGAGGATTTTGATGATGATGTAAATTAAATGGATGAAGGTCAAAGAAGTTTATCTAGAAACTAGTTAAAAGGTCCTTGGCTATAGAGATCAGAGGCAGAAGGAATGGATGTCTGATGAAACTCAGAACAAAATAAAATCGGATAGAAATTAATTACTAAATAATTAATAACAGTAAAACATGATAGCAGAAAGCAATAGCCCAAGCACAATATACAGAAGCAAATGTTCAGGTGAAGAGGAGTGTGAGAAGAGATAAAAGTCAGTGGGCAGATGAACTATCACATAAAGCAGAATAGGTAGAGGAAAGAGAGAGAGGAGAAGACTTAAAAGAACTCTACAATATAACCAGAAAGCTATCCAGGAAAGGATTTAACAGAAATAAACCAGTTAGAAACAATATGGGAGGTCATATCAACACATGAAGAACAACTCAAGAGTTGGAACAAATATTTCTCAGAACAATGAACAGGATGTTCCATATGAAGAATCACCAAGGAAGATAATAAAATCAGATCCAAAATCGACATACAACCCCTAACACGTAATGAAGTTGAAACTGCACTAAAACAAATTAAAGGAGGAAAAGCACCAGGAACAGATAATATACCATCAGATGTTCTGAAGACAGATATGGATACTAACACTAATGTATTACTACCTCCACTAGAGGAAATATGGAATGAAGAAAAAGTCCCAGAGTGGATAGAAGGGTTGAGTGGGGGGGGGAGATACTACCAACTGTAATAACTGGAGAGTAATTACTCTGTTAAGACACCAAGCAACATATTATCAAGAGTAATACTGAACAGAGTGAAAGATGTTGTAGAGGTACATCTTAGGAAGTAGCAGGCAGGCTTTTGGAAACACCGAAGTTGTGTAGATCTCATTAACACCTTGAGAATCATTTTTGAGCAGAGTGCCAAATGGCAAACAACTTTGTACATGACTTTCATTGATTTTGAGAAAGCTTTTGATGTACTTAATAGAAGAGTCATGTGGAAAACTCTAACAGAGTATTGTATCCACCAAAGATCTTGAATCTCATTAAAAACATGTTATGTGGGATTTAGATGTAAAGTGCTTCATGAAGGAAAACTTACTGGATACTTTATAATTAATACTGGTGCAAGACAAGGTTGTATCCTGTCTCCAATTATATTCCTGTTGGTTCTCTAAAGAATAATGAGGAAAACTCTGGGCAGAAGGGAAACAGCAATTGAGTGGAGCATGAGAGACAGACTTGAAAATTTAGAATTTGCTGATGATATATGTCTTCTGGCTCAAAGGCTTACAGATATGAAGAAGAAACTGAAACAATTACAAGGAGAGGCAGAGTTAGCTGGGTTGAATATGAACGGTAAGAAGACCAAAGAGAGGACAGTACATGTTACTACTGCCACAGAAAAGCTAAGCATCAGTGGAAAGAAAACAGTGGACCCTTTCACTTACTTGGGGAGTATTGTGACAAGCGATGGTGGTAGTTAAGATGTTAGAAAGTGAATTACAAAGGCAAATGGAGCTTTTATTCAGCTATTATCCTACATGGAAAAGTAAGATATATAAAAAAAAAAGAGAGAGAATAACCGCCCCCTCTATATGCAGCACTAACATAAAGTCAGTACTCTTTCATGCATGTGCAACATGGAAAGTCACCCAATAAATTAGCAAAAGAATGCAAGTCTTCGTGAACTGCTGCTTATGCTGCATCTTGAACCTATGGTGGCCAGATATCCCGTCTAATAAAGGTCTGGGGAAAATTAGAGAACAGGAGCCAATTACTGCTCAAATTAGAAAAAGGAAATGGCGTTGGATTGGACACACCTTAAGAAAACCAGAAGGAACAATGGAGAAAGCAGCATTAGATTGGAATTCACAGGGAGCACGAAAATGTGGGAGACCAAGGAAGACATGTAGAAGATCTGCAGAAGAGGAAATAAGTAAAAAAGAAAAGACGTGGAGAGGGGTGAAGAGCTTGGCAAATGACTGAACAAAATGGAAAAACTTCACATCAGCCTTTTGCTCCATCACAATGATGTGATGATAACATCAGTCTTACAGCCTCTTGAAGTGTCAGTTAACATGAGCCATGTATTCAGGCCAGTGTCATACTTGTCTCCCCCCACACAAGACATCTAAGTTCTGACACATTTCCTATATTATGTCCCACTCTATCTGTCATGTCACTTTCTTCCACTTTCATGTTCTAGAATAAAGAACTACCTGGGTGTTGACTTAACTAGTTTCTCTCTCATATGCTTACCTTTGACTGGTAAAGTTGGACAATAATTGTGTTTCAGTCTAGTCTATTTCTAAATTGTGTTCGGACTCTTTGCTAGGCCAATGAGGGCAAGGGAGTTCTTGTTGCAACAGTAACGTAAGTTTGTTTTGGGATGTTGTGACAATTTCTTTTTCAGGTTCATTTATAATTTTCTCTGGCCCAGTTTATTTTTTTCTTTTTACATTCATAAAAAAGTAGAGTAGCATAATATTACAATTTGTGTTTTGTTACTGTTGCACATAATATCTTGGGTCTGTGTTATACACATGCATGAGTGATTATGTATGTTGTTCGGTTTGCATTTAGACTGACGAAGAGGCCTGGCTTGCCATGTCTTGCAAAGAAGCATATTTTGAATAACTGGTGATACTGTTCAGAGTAGCTCTGTTTCACCATTATTTCCTTTGACTATTCTCAGCTTTGTGTAACAAATTTGTTGTGTCTCTAGTTGTTATTAAATATTTGTTGTTTTGTACTCCATCTTTCTTACTGAAGGTTATGTGGACATTTATCATGCCCCATAGTTCGAAAAGGGTTAGGTTTATTCTAAATCTGAACCCTCTATGCCCTGCTTAAAATTAGACACCCATTCCACCCAGGAAGGTTTGTAAACTCAATATGTGAACCAGGAAGATTACTGCTACTGTCCTCCACAGAGTGAAGAGTAGAAGACAGGAGGTGCTGAACAAGCCATGTTGGACAATGTTACAAAACTGTACACAGAATGGTTGACAGAAGGATATGACTTGACACCAAAAGGGATGATAAGAAGACTGTCCAATGAAATGATGTGTGACCAGATAGTACAAACATAGAACATAATGTCAATGAAAATAATTATGAAGAGCTTCTCAAAATTGGGATTACAAATACTCTTAACAGAAATGAGGACATGCTGGAGGTTGCAGACAGTAGTGAATTGGTACCAGAGAGCAGATCCAAGCATGACAATACATAAAACAACTGTTATGAAAATACTGTGCATTATTCTTGGTAGCAGGTAATTACACGAGTAAATATGGAATCTAAACTGCAATAAGCATACATAACCAAAACATATGGCATCATTAGTTAAAGCTATAACAGGACTAGTGTTGTCCTATACAGATATGACTTGGACAAGGAGAGAATTTTCCATTTTGTATATTAAACATTGCCAAAGATCAGATGAGTGAAAACAATAAGGATATTTAAACTGTGAAAACATAATGTTAGTAACATTACTATGCCTCTAGATATGAGGCCAGTTACATTTCTGACTACAAGAAGGCAGACTCATTCCATGAGGTCTCTTTAAGTTTAGTTGAGTTTAATTCTGGCTTTTAATTAAATGATTTAACACAGCTACTTAACTTCCTCTGTGAACAGCCAAGCACTGCATGTAGAAATCTGTCTCACCATTCTGCTGGTGGACATAGCAACCTTGGGCTATGCCAAACAGATTTAATTACTCTGACATTTTAATACTGTTTTTCCATAAAGATGGAAAGGAACAACTGTGCATTAGACTGTGAGCTATTCAAGACAATGTTAAAAACAGCATCTCAAACACAAGGCAGACAGGTCCATTTAACCTGCTCTGTTAACAAAGGTTAAAAATTAATTAAAACAAGCCACATGTTAAGTTGGAAAATTATATTTTTCCTAGCAGTAAAGTGCCATAATCCTTTCAGGACCACTCATATAACCACAAGTCCTCTATTAAGACTATTAACATACTTGTATAATTTTAAATTTTGGACACGCAGCCACAAAATTAATACATGTATAAAAATGTCCATTTGTATGCTATAATAAATAGTCAGTTCTCATGGAATCAAATTACTATGGTGACAAGAAATAAACCTTCTGATACTGCTGAACTCTTCAAGATATAGCAGAAGGTTTCAGTTTTTGAATCCATACATCACAAAAATGTATACAAACACCACCAGCTTTAACCCAGGCTTCATCAATCCCGATAGAATACGTAACACAAAGAGATTCTGAAGAGTACCATCTTCTGGAGTGTGGCCCTGTGCAATCTGGCTGATAGTTATCAACATTTCAGAGGAACAAATGCCTCCATATGCAGGGTAGAAGAGTTTGCCAAGCATGGAGAAACAGTACAGATACAAGGAGAGAGGAGTGGTGCCTGAGTCGGTCAAGGAGAACAGTTCTTAGAGCCCTGGTCCCAGTCTTCCTCTTTCCTGTGTCCATACTATTTTTCCATGCTTCACTTAGTCTTCTACCATGAAGATATAGGTAACAGGGTCTTCCAAATCACTGATGCTAAATGTTGATGGATATCTACCAGACTACATCACATCACATCCCAGAAAGCAATAGCATTCAAAGTCACTGCTTGAAATCTCACAGAGATTTTTACTGCCTTCATGACTCGATGACATTAATAAACAAATAGCTATGTCATGAGCAATGTCTCCAACTACTTTTTAAATTACAGTCTGCAGTTATGGGATCTGACAAATGGCCTTACAAATCAAACACAGTACAATGATCTGTACCACAATGTTCAGTGCATAATAATACCACATCTTGTTTAACACGCAAAATTAAGCCAAATCAGAATGAAACTGATGAACCAATTGCATCTGCGATGATGTTGGTTGATGACAGGTGGCAGTTTCTGCTGTGTTATGTCTTTAAACACATTGTCTGTGGCCCAGATACATAACAGCTTCTTGCATTACCTGGCAAATGAACAAGATCACATCAGTGAACAACCGATGCTATATAGTCTTGAAGCTGACAGTGTCGTCAGATAACCAACTTAAAAGAACAGTGAACAAACACAATGTATGCTATCATTCTATACAGAATATTTATATTTAGTCATAAATATGTATGTCACTTTAAATGGGTGTCAAATTTCATACTTTGCTTTAAAGGGAACATAAATTAAATGCATTTGACAGGAATGAAGAAAATCATATACAGAAGGAGCTCCATAAATCTGTACTTCCCACCTAACATCACTACAGTAAATGACAAGGGATAAATTAGTTAAATCAAATCTGAGTTGGAACACTCACTATTTGACTAAGGTTCTCTGACATTTTCTTCAGTACATCCATGCAAACAGTAAAATTCATTCTATGTGATACTGACATTATTTGTAATACCAATTTTTCTTGTTGTGTTGACAGATACATTAAATAACCATACAGTTGTGACACACAGAGAGATGCACACTGTAAAAATAACTCATGTAAATGCCAGTATCTATAATTAGGCCATGACCACACCCTCTATTATCCTTTCAAATTCATTATTCTCTATAATCCCACAATTCAACACTATAGAGTCTGAGATACTGACAACAGCATTAAATAAATTACAAAAAACACACGATAAATTAGGTTAAACAGGTAGCATGCATGGGGAAACAAGAAATGAATTGAAAATTGTTTGAGAAAATGCGTAACTAATATGCCTACAACGATGCAGCAAGCAAAGACAGTAAATTTCCCAGCATTTTATGGAACCTGAAGGTTCATTACCGTGTTTACAAGAGCCCTCCACTGGTCCCTATCCTGAGCCAGATCAATCCAATCCATCCCATCCCATCCTATCTCTCTAAGATCCATTTTAATAATGTCCACCCACCTACGCCTTGGTCTTCCCAGTGGTCTCCTTCCTTCTGGCTTTGCCACCAATATCCTATATGAATTCCTCATCTCCGCCCTTCGTGCTACATGCCCTGCCAACCTCATCCTCCTTGAATTTATCATTCTAATTATACTTGGAGAAGAGAACAAGTTACGAAGCTCCTCATTATGCAGTTTTCTCCAACCTCCTGTCACTTCATCTCTCTTCAGTCCAAATATTCTCAACACCCTGTTCTCAAATACCCTCAGTCTATGTTCCTCCCTTAATGTCAGAGACCAAGTTTCACACCCATACAGAACCACAGGCAAAATAATAGTTTTGTATATTCTAATTTTTATGTTTTTGGACAGCAGATGAGAAAACAAAGGTTCTGGACTGAATGGTAACAAGCATTACCCGAGTTCAATCTCCTCTTAATTTCCTCCTGAATCAGGTTTTGATTTATGATCATCGTTCCCAAATATCTGAACTGTGCCACATTTTCAAAATATCTGTTTCCTATCGTTATGTCATGATTTTGCCCGGCATTTTGGTGATGAAACAGCAACATATACAGTAAAACTTGGTTATAGCAACATCGGTTTCTGCGACACCTTGTCTATTGCGTCAAATATTCAATGGTACGAACTAATTCCTCATAAAGCAACTGTTTTTATACCTTGCTTAGTACGACATGCACAAATGCATCAACCTCGTATGTAACGTCATTTTCATTCCTGAATTTCTCTGATATCGTGGGAAAGTTCGATGTGTCTGCCCACCCTCACTTTCTCTACTTGCTGACGTGACTCTCCTGGATGAATATGACCGCGGGCTGCAAGAGGAGCATGGATTTTATGCGAAAACAAGGGTGTGGGGTGGGACTGCGTGAATAGTGCAAGAGGACGCGGCAGGTTGTTAACTGCATTCCTTTCCTAGAATCTCGTCTAACAGGACCTCACATTGTCTACTTACCCTATAGTGTTCCTGCCTAAACCCAGAGAAGTGCAGTAGCGAAAACATGGCAATGAAAAGGAAAGTTTTAAGCATTGAAGAGAAAGTTAAAGTGATTCGTGAAATAGAAAATGGAAGGAAAAAAGCTGATGTATGCTGTGAATTTGGTTTGGTGAATTCTACAGTACGAACGANATGTCTTTGATATTACACATTTGGGCAATTCCACGTTAATGTTACATTAGTCTGTACTTAACTACGTATTTCACTAAAAAATGCAACATTTTAACTCGGTTTTTGGTAGATATTTACGTGACTAACATAAGGCTACTGTGGAAGTGCCCATTTCGGTTACAACGACATTCGTTTATAACGACACTATTTTTAGGTCCCTTTGATGACGTTATAACCAAGTTCTACTGTACTTAGTTTTCTCTGTATTTACTTCTAGCCCAACCTCCTTACTTGCATCAATTAAAGTTTATGTGTTTTTCTTTATGGTATCTATGTTATCACCCAGTAGATTCAAATCATCAGCATTGACCAACAGCTGATGTGTCCTGTTTAATTTCAGTCCCATCTGGCTTTCCTGGACCTTCCTAATGGCATATTCTAAAGCAAAATTGAAAAGGAGTGGCGATAAAGCATCTCCTTGTCTTAGACCAGGGGTCTCCAAACTTTTCAAAACGCGGGCCACATTAGGTAATTCAGCACTTTCAACGAGCCGGATAAAATGAGAAAATAATAACTCTAGGTTATGAGTTTTATTGAAAGCACAGAATTTCATAAACTAAATACAAAGTATGTGAGAATAAATTATCATATATTAATGACAACAGACAGTAGCAGCAAATGCTCATATTTTCATCACAAATTATAATAAAACAATTAATGTGAATGATGGAACTCCTTTTGCATTCTTAAAATCTGATTAAATTTAGGTTCAAATTTTGAAACGCTAATCACAAGTAGCGACTTTAAATGTTCATCGGATAAATTTGCCCTGTATTTCGACTTGATCTACTTCATCTGGGAAAAAGTTTGTTCACAAAGATATGTCGTCCCAAAAATGGAGATAAATTTGCAAGCAAATTTCTTTAAATTTGGAAATTGCTCAGAGTTCAGAAATTTATAAAATTCGATCAAATTTCCTTCCTTGTATTTTGGTAGCATTGCTAGCCTATTTTGATTGCGATGTAGAGTTGTTCGTCTGGCTTGGTCTGTTATCCTTCTCTTGATTTTATGTCTTTAATATGATAATTTTCTTGAAGTTCAGTAATTTCCATTTGAATTTGACCTGGGACATCTGCAGCATCACAGTCAAACGGATTTTGAAACAATCTAATTTCCTGAGAACTGGCATCCAAATCAGCAACTTGCTTCCAAAATTTTTCTTTCAAATCTAAAATTGTGAATAATATTAACATAATATGGAATATCAATATATTTTAAACACAATCTTAATTAATGAATTTGAAGTCTATGAACAAGTATTTTCTTTACCAGTACTCATTGGAAAATTAGTTCAATTGGCGCATTTGTGCACAATTCTTTCGCGGGCCGGATGTGGCCCGCGGGCTGTAGTTTGGAGACCTTTGTCTTAGACCATTCTGGATAGGAAATTTATCAGACGAATGTTTACCTATACGGATTTTACTGTAAGTTTCGTTTAACCACATTTTAATCAGCTTAACTAGTTTCATGGGTATCCAAAACTCTTATCAGAATACTGTACAATACTTCCCTCCAATCTGAATCATAGGTTTTCTTGAAATCTATGAATAGCTGTAGTACTGTCTTATTGTACTCCCATTTTTTCTCCAATATCTGACGAATGCAAAAGATGTGATCTGTAGTTGATCTGTTACATCAAAACCCACACTGTTGATCCCCAATAATTTCATCTATGTATGGACTTAACCTTGAGAGAAGAATATTGGATACAATTTTGTATGAAGTTGATAGTAGTGAGACCCCCCTATAATTACTACAGTCAGTTTTATCACCCTTCTTGTGAACTGGTACAATAATAGATTCCTTCCACTGATCAGGCAAATTTTCCTTATGCCAAATAGATGTAATTAGCTTATGGATCTTAGAACATAATATTTAGCCTCCTGCTTGAGAAAGTTCTGCCGGAATTTTATCACTACCTGGCGATTTATAACTTTTCAATTTTGCAATAGCACTTTCAACCTCAAAAGGGCTGGGATCAGGTACTAACAGCTCAGCTGTAGTTCTTCCATCTACTCAAAATGTTGTGGGAATCTGCAAGCAGATCACCATTCTCATCCTTCGCTAAGTTACTTCTAGGCCGTGCCATAGCTCAAGCGGTTAGTTGCTGGCTTCCCACCACGGCAGCCCAGATTTGATCCTGGGTCTGGTCAAGTGGGATTTGTGGTGGACAAAGTGGCGCTGGGGCAAGTTTTCTGTGAGTACTTCGGTTTCCCTTGCCAATCTTCATTCCACCAATTGCTCCACAATCATCTTCACCTATCATCTGGGGCTGGTACAATAGGCCAGAAGTGGCTGCAGTACAAGGGACTTAGTCCCGCTGCACTAGCAATAAAAAAAATTACTTCTAGGTTTGTAATCCCTCTTAAAGTCATTTATTTCTCTATACAGGTCTCTAATATTCTTGTTCTTGCTGTTCATTGCAAGCTCATCAATTTTATATTTCAGATATTCCTCCTTTTTATTCCTGAAATGCCTGCTGGTTTCACATCTTATATTTTTCAGATTATCCCTATTTATTTCATTTGGATACTGTAACCATTGCAGTTTGGCTTATGTCACATGGATCAGTACTGCAAATGATGGGACTCAGTCTATTCTCAGTCTCGATTGTCTTGAGGATGGGACTGACAATTTTGTATTTTGGCCACCACAAAACACAGTCATCACCTACAGGGCTATTTACATACTAACAGATAACCCAAGTAACACCAAAACTTTCCACCATGTTGGAACTGGTAACTTAGAAATTTATCTGTAAAAATAAAACCCAAGGCCTAAAACTAGAAGGTTCTTAGAAATTTATTTTAAAAACAAAACCATAGGCCTAACCATGTATACTTGTTATTGGAGGCAAATTCTAAGGTTGGGCTTTAGGCTTTCCTCTTACAAATAACCTTGTAAGGCTGACAGCACTAACACATTAGAAAATATGGTGGTTGTATCACCCGTTAATGTATTAGTACATCTACAAGGACTAACTCAGACCCATGGCTCGGATTACTAACAACCAACTTGACACAATTTTTATTTGAAATAAACATAACAGCAAGGGACAATTCCTGATGTAAAACAAACATCATATCTAGAAATTGTAGGGCACTCAACATATGGCAATAGTGTCTGTGAAAAAACATCACTACCATAAAAATTAGTGAATTCTGTTTTTATTTACAATCATTAGGCTTATCACAAACCACATTAATGTAATCTAACTTGTAACTATGTAGGATTTCAGGTTCTCATCATGGTGTTTAGGATGAGTTCGATCTTCTAGGATATATCAACATGTTGTTGGTAAGATATATTCCTCAAAAATGTTGGTTGACTTTCATCAGACCATACAGCACTGTATCATAGAAGACAAACTATTCATAACTTGTGACTAAACTTCAACTTTCAAAAGAAATCTAAAACTACCAAGTTTACTACACACATCTGTGTAATTATGATAAAACCCTGAAATAAAAAATGGGAGATGCAATTTGGTTCTGATACCCTGTGTCTCGTGATTTACTCTAAAATGATTTTCATCTAACAGAAATATGATAGCACATATCAAAAGTGAAAATATATAACAAATTTCTTCACATTACAATGAACAGAAATCAACACATAAAAAATAAGTGATCCACATATGTTATGTCATGTGCCAAAAATATGACAATTTTGAATATCCAAATTTCACATTTTCTGAAATTCTGTTGCTAGTAATCAATAACACAGCGAAGTGTAGAATGGCAAACTGAAATTTGGCTTCAAAAATTCCAAATTACTAATATGATTAACTTTCATTAACATATACGGAAGTGCAGAAAGCCCAACTGATTTTTTTTTTGGCAATTCCAAATTCCACATATGACTTCACTGTTAAGTTGGATTTGAGAAATTACTGCACTTACATACAGAGTTACTTGGATGATCAGATTAGCTCTCTGTTGGTTGTTCAGACTGATCCATTGGCTCATCAATATCTGCGCTGACCAACTGACTACTAACATTACTGTCATCAACCTCCATTGCCTCATCCTGCTGACACACCACCACATTCTCATCTGTAGTCTGTTCTGTTCTCCCATTCTCTGTGACTTCTTGATAAGGAACTGCTTCTGCCAATGGACTGGAACCAGCAATCTCTTCTAGTTGGCTGGTTTCGTTTGAATCTGTGGATATTACATCATTTGGATTATGCTGTTCTGGATTACTGTCGTTCAGTTCTGCAGTGCCAGCCTTTGTAGCTGAATTCACATCTGTGTCTACACCCTTTGCACATATCTCGTCAAGAGGAATCTCTGTGCTTGTAGAATCGGTTGTACAAGCAGTTTCTGCTGCCAAAGTAGCAGGTTCAGAAATCACAGTCTCTGCCATTACATTACCAGCCACTGTTTCACTGTTGGGATCCACTGATGCTGGTACTGTTTCAATATTAGAACCACTTTCAGATAAATCTTCAGCAGGTGAAGAACTGTCTATAGACTCCTGCTCTAAAGGTGTACTTGTTATCTCTGTCTCTTCAGGAAGGCTTCCACCAGTTTCCTCATTTGCTTGTTCTGGAGTCTCATCTTTCACTGCAGAATTTTCAGCAGTTAAGTCTGATTCAGATCTATGGCAATCATCTTTCAGATCACCATTTTCATCTGTTTCACTTAAATTCTCCTTGTTACTTGATAAACAAGCATCTATTCCAGGATGTGAGTCTCCGGGAACAACATCAGAAACAGTGTCCACTTCACTTGCTGAGGCAACTGGTAATTCTGCAGATTCATGGCCACTTTCCCCACTCCCTGTACTGCTGATTTCAAAACATTCTGAACTTTCTTTGGATCTGTCCTCCCCTTCCCCACTATTACCATTATAATTCAAAGTCCCATCTTCTTCACTGTGTACTAAAACCTCAGACTGTTCCTTTTCCCAGACATTGGAATTTGATGCTTCCATGTGATCACCTTGCTCTTCCATATCAATTTCCTCCATTCCCGCACATTCTACGGGGACATTTTCATTTTCAGTAACATTAACTTCATTCTCATCTGAATGCATTAGATTTACACCTTCACTGCTCACTGTTTCAATGGCTTCACCTAATTCGATGCCTCGTCCATCCATAACCCCATTCATCAATAATTCATGTTGACCATTATCAGGACGCCTTATATTCCCCGGCTCTCTTGTACTAACGACTAAAATATTTTTTTCAATTGCCCTCATAAATTTATCAGCCCTACTGTACTCCTTCCTTGGGGTAGTTAATAATTCACACAGTCTTTGCACTGTGAATGGAGCACTAGGGAAAGAATCAAGACGTTCCAACAAACTGTTCTTCATAGTTTCATAATTGAAAGGGTCAACATTCGGACAAGGTGGCAAGTCTATTGTTGGGCTGGTTTCATAGAAATCTGTAATAACATTCAAAAGTTTCTCTCTAAACAGGCATTTCACTATTGACCACTGATACACTGGGTCGCCTGTCTTAGCTACATACGACAAATAATCTTCTAATTCTCTGGGTATATCTTTTGGCTTCAGTTTTGCAAATTCATCTAACGACTGCAACACTTCTTCGAGATTTTCCATTTCTTCACTTGCTTCTACAAATAAAATTTTGGCAACACTCACACGATTACAACTGCCAGACGCACTCCACCTCCACTACCATATCACATAATATTGTCGTACACAATTGCCAATGGTTTCAAACGAACAATTAACAACGCATTCTATAGTATTTTTGTACAGTCTCGCAGGAAATTAACGAATTATTGTAATAAACAGGGTACTTGTTAATACTTAATGAACTGTCGATTGAAGAAAACTGTATAGATCTATATATTAATAAATCCAATGGTCCAAACTTCACTAAATAATTGGACCGGCATGATGGTAGTGGCAGCACTGCTGGATCAAAGAGCACTGAAATGAAATAAATAATACTTGGATAAGAGATAAATTATACGTACGGAGAAAGTTCACTTAGAAATTCTTACCACACAGTGGGTTTATTTTACTTATCTTTGATTCTGAATGTTATGGTCTCACACTGGGTTCATGGTGCTTGCGCATGGAGGACGTGACGAAACACTTGGGCGCAGTGTACGGATTACACAATGCGTTGTGCCTTGGTTTTAATGTTATTTGGGTCGTTGTAAACATATACACAAAAAAGAGCTCTAATTTATATTAACATTAATATTATTTTCCATTTCAGGATTCTTATTATTACGCTGTAAAATCATATTGGCTGTGTAGGTTCAAATTTTCATGCTAACGAAAATTTTGTAGTATCTGACATTCTTAGAGAGGTAGTTGTGAACTGTACCTTCTGGGGACATAACGCCGTGTAGTCTGTTGAAAGTTAACTGATATTTCGGTGTAACATGTCTCCAGATTTGAAGAATACGCCAAGCAAGGAACCGCCATCAAGCTCGCTACATGACATTCCATCCCAAACGATAAAACCATTCCTAATGGAGATTATTTTTCCCCAGTAACAATATAGCACAATTGATTTGGAATCTGATGCACATATAATTTTTGTCATAAAAATTGATTGTCAGTCTGTAGAAGGGATGCAATTACAACAGTTAGAAATCAGCTTGCATGGGAGATGATTTTAGGTGCACTGCCATTGTTTTAAAGTTGACAACCAGACTGATGGTACTATAAAATAATACTACAAATTTGTTTGAAGTTAAGGTACATGGACAAGTGCCCTGTTACAATAAACACCAAGTGATTCTATTCTTTGCGAATTCTTACCTGTTCTAAGAATGCAGACAGCTACTGTATACCTTATATGTGCACTCAAAATCAAATTAAGTGTAGTTTATATTCATGCTATTGCACTTGGTTTAAGACCTAACATTTCAGGTTTTCACAGAGGTGGAGGCGCATGTAATTACCTTTTGGACTTTGACACCACCTATTCTGGAAGGCCATAGGGTTTTATCATCCAGAAGACCACTAGATCCTATTACATTGGATTTAAATTGTAGTTGTAAGGATTTAACCTTTTTGTTTAAATTTTTGTCCTTCGTATTCATACATTCATATAATTTTCAGTTAATATTATGTTTAGTGTGACTCCAAACACTCCATTCATTAACATTTACTGGGTGTAAGCAAGCAATGGTGCTGGGAAGTGGAGGAGGACCAAATCAGGCATCCCTGCCCCCAGTATTTGGAAGAAACAGAAAGGAAATATGCTAAATATTAAAATTACTCTGTAAAGAAAAGATTATTCTATCCTGAATACTGTAAAGTGATCAACAAAAACAGTTGTAAATGGTGTACAGGTTAAGTTTATAAGCAAGGTTTGTGGCACAGACATAATAAATAGAATCTTAATCGATCAGAATACATAACATGACAAACAAAAAACAAAATTACTACTAGAAACAGTCTTAAACCAGAATTATTTTCAACATAATAGTCAACAACGCAAACAATTTGATTGCCTAGCTACGGGAGCACAACTCCATGAATTCTATGAGAAATATACTCCCAATACCCAGAACATAAGTATATTACCAACATATCATATATTTTAGATACATCAGTGACATTCTGATTATTTACAATACAGATTTCACAAAAATTTACACCCAAAGTGATTTCACTGATCTGCATCCAAACCTGATTTATTCAGGAAAATGAAAATAATAATATTAAGTACACAGATGTAACCGTCACCAACAATTCAGAGCAATCATAAGTATATATATATACGTGGCAGAGTCATTAAGTTCATGGAATGTTGTTTTATTGCATCATATTACAAGGTATTCACATACACTTATGCAGATCCACATCAGCCCTCAAAATTGTTGCCTTGGCCGCTATGCAAGCCTGCCAACATTGATATGCTGTCAAAAACATTGCTGAAACATATTGGCAGTAATTTCCCGTACAATGCTTTGCGACCATTCCACGAATTTATTGACTGTGGTAGTATATATATCAGAAAAACAACTTTACAGGCCTAGTTATCACCAATGGATCCGACCATGCATAAACCTGTCTAATTAACATGCTGGATAAATATCCTATTTCCATGGAAAAATTCCAAGGAATTAATCACTATAAAGAAATACTGAAGAACAAACAGTAATCCCCCCCCAAGACCTAACAATAACATGCCAAAGGCATAGCAAAAGAGAAAATAAAATCTTCAATCAAACAAAAACAAGAACAAAAAAGGGCCAATTCACCTCTGTCACCAAAGACAGAAGTGTACCTCATGTTTTCTAGACAGTCGGCTCACAGGATGGTGGTGAGGTTGTCAGCCTTGCATACTGGCTGCCCTTGCAATGCTTATGTGTACATGTTGTCATATTTGATCATTTTAATGCCTGATTTTGTATAGCTCTATATACGAACAGGTAATTTAATATTTAATTCTATCACACTTACAAGACAGATCCAACATAAAATGTTAATTAAATTAAATAACAGCTTCTACCAAATGAAGCTCTTTTAAAGTTTTTGCTATTTTTGTGTAATTTTTATGTAGATTCCACCTGGTGGTCATTTGATGACTGAAACATGCCATGGTATTGACTGTATCTGCAGAAATAAAGCTTGTGTGACTCTGTACAGTGATAATACATGTCTTATATCATGTATAATGATCCATGGACACGAAATAAATGAATGAATAAGTGCACACAAGCAAGATGCAACATTATAATACTCATTATTAAATCACAGCAGCGTCTTATCTTACGTGGTTGAATGTGTATTGTGTGCAGCAGATGGTATTATGAATATTTATGACAGTTTGGGGGTGTTAAAATACAGAAGGAAATTTCTTCATTACTTTACTTCTCACAACATTGTTTCAAAACAAAAATTGTATTTGCTGTTGCTATAAAAAGAAAATGGCTTTTTATTGAAAATATGTGTTTTTTATTAAGTGAAATGATATTTTCCTGCAATAAAAATGCTCTGGAAAGCTTTTGCATATTATTAGTAACATCACTTGCAAAAAAGAAAGTTCTGTTACACAGCACTGGTGCCCATGTTCAAAGGGTAATTTTTCTTTTGGTTACAGAATCCACAGTGTAAAGCTTTCCGCTGTTACATGGCATACTATGTTATATACAACTGTAACATAATGAGGCACATTCGTATTTTATAAGCTTGGGGTGAACACACAGCAGAGGGCACTTATATCCACTTTACCATCTGTGTGTAGGTCTCCCCCACTGAACTGGAGAGCATAGTACTACAAATACCAGGTGTTGCTGATGTGGCAGTGGTTGGCATTCCTGATGCCCTGGCTGGTGAACTTCCACGTGCGTTTGTTGTGCGTCATCCTGACGCTCAGAATCTAACTGAAGATCAAGTCCAACAATATGTAGAGCCTAAAGTTGCCAGTTACAAGAAACTAGCGGGCGGTGTGAAGTTCATTGACATTATACCTCGAAATCCAGCAGGCAAGGTGTTGAGAAATGAGCTGAAAGTGCTTGGTGAGAAATCACCCATTCAGTGATGAGTATGGCAATCATTTTGTTGACTGCCTGTGCTCTATTCAAGTTTAATTTTAAATTTGGTATCATATATCAAATTCTAGGCAAGACTGAAATTTCTTCCATACTTAAAACAATTTCTTTATGACTGAAATATTATGACCAGAAACACCAAAATACTGCATCTCAATATCACTGGCACTTTCTAATGCACTTATACATTTTGAATTTGAAAGCCAATGTGTGCATCATCTGAGGATTTAAGCAAGGGTATATTCAGGACTAGTTCAGAATTTTGCTACACACACATCATGTTCTAACATAACTTCTGCCATCTTGGATTTCCACGATTTTCTACACTATCTAATGTCACAACTAACAAAAGAAATTATTTACATAAATTTGAATGACCTGGATGTGTTACATATTTAGGTGAAACAGGAAATGGTCAAGTTAACTGTAAAACTGCAACGAAAGTGAATACTTTGGAGACAAAGGCATGAACAGAAGGATAACAGTAGAAGGATCTTCGAGGCACAGATCTCGAAGATGTGAACTAGTCTCAGGGTAAGAACCAGTGATAATGATGAAGTTCTGCAACATGTGGGAATTTCTTAAATATACGAATAATTATTGACTGCTCAGTCATGTTAAACGTATCAGACTCAAGTTGCTGTAGAGCATGAGAATTCACATTAATGCAATGGAAGAATCCTACACAAATACAAACAAATGAATTTTAAATGAAATACTATTCTGGACACATAAAGGGATTTAAAAACTGTACCTGTGACAATAAAGATATGTTTTGGAATTATTTATAATGATTTTATTTTGAATTTACTGAAGCCATAATTTGTAGCGTATGATCTTCATTTTATATACAGAGCATATTCATGTCGCTTCCCACCTCTAAACTGATGCATTTCTGTGAACCGATGTTGAGATGAGAAAACAGTACCCCTTACCCCCTCCCCCAGGCATTAGTGACCATCCTTCCAGTCTTATCTATATGGAAAGCCAGTTCCTCAACCTACACAGGTCAATCCTCAAAGCTGGAGGCAGAGTGTTCCTCCAAAACATCAATGTCTGCCTACACAGTGCCACAACCCAGAAGACCACAATTTGAATAATTGTGAAGCGTTGAATATGAGGCTTGTGCAAATGGGAAATAAACACCAATCATGCTTTAACATTTTTATTTTCAGTTATAAAAAAAATTAAATTTGTATTGGTATTGCCAAACTTGTCATACGGTTGCCAAACTTATTTGGTACAAGAATTAGCCATATGGCAGCCTTGGCAATATGTATTGTACATGTATTTCTTTGGCACAATGATCAGAATGGTCACATGACTTCTGTGAATTCTGGTGATTTCCCAAGTGCTGCACTAAATGAAACACACTGGACCTTGCAGACTGACACATGGACCCCTACAACACTGCTCTCTTGTGACATGTGTCCAAGCAGTGGTGTACTCATTGCAGCGTATCAGCTTCACATCACTCCTCACCACTTTGCTCGCTTAGACCAGTCTTTGGGTGTCCAATGAAGACATTTGGGGTCAATGCGAATCTTCCGGCGCTCCATGGCACGCTGATGGGCTGCTACTGTTTCCTCACTCAGAGTGATGATATACTGACCTTTATAGTAGTTGATGAGGTTTAAGTTCTGCAGCGTAGAGATAACATCTTCCTTCTTGATACTCGTCAGCTCACAGATCTCACTGCAACACAAATACAGGGCAGAAGACATGCATCTCCTTCCTTTATTATCACCTACGTGCAGTACTCCCTGTTCTCACGAACAAGACACCTCATAATGTCTGGTGTGGAAGGAATTACATTAACAAAATTTAGGTTGTTTTAATTTTAGTTCAGTGTATACGTATTCTTTGGACAAAATGTATAATGGGGAGCCCATTCCTGTGCGTTTCCATGTTTTGTCTCCAAAACAAAATGGATATTGTAAAAGTTTGGTACTCAGGAATGCACTGTGTAGAATCTTTTAATGTTTTCCATTGCTCTAGCAAACTACAGTGGCCATCTTTAGGGTGAATGTCTTTTGTAGGGGAGGGTCAAAGCCCTTATATAGATGTGGCAGTGGGTGGTGAGCAAGAAATGAAGGCGCGATTGGGCGAAACAAAGGAATGGTTGCTATCCAATAGGAAGTGACCATATGGTTGGGGAAAAGAGGTGATGAAATTAAAGACCATGTGGTCAGTAAAAGGTGAAGTTACAGCAGCCACATGGTTAGGGGAAGAGATGATGAAATATTTTAAAATTACACTCGCTTAGTCAGTGTGCTGTGAACTCCCTATTATTCTCAGTAATGCAAGGGAGAACTAGTGAGGATAATTAAAAATAATGAATAATCCAAATGCCAAATTTATCTGAAATAAAGCAAGTTCTTTTTTATTCCAGGGCATCTGAGAAAATAAGGGTCACCTTTTTTTCATTCACGCTTAGAAAATACCACATTGGATTCAGTCTCTACATTACCAAGAGTACTGTGTGGTTAATGTTTTTACGGATGACAATGTGGCTGTTATGTAGCATTCTACCACTTTCAGTTCAAGGTCAAAGAAGTGTGTTTATTGGTGAGTGAAACCAACATTGCAGTATATGGGTAATTAATTCCTGGCTGCAGTGGTAGCAACAGTTCCAAGGATGAAGCTTTAATGCATGTACACATTATGTCCTCATTTATTTGGGTGAAAGCAAAACAGGTAGAATACCACGGCACAGATTATGGCTGATGATGCAGAAAAGAGAAGTTCTACAATGTCACATGGTGCATAGCTGTGAAGCCAATTTTCAATTTACAGCCACAAAGCTTGTGGAAGAAACTACCAACTGCACTGTGGTAAATGTCCACCAGAAGAGGAAATTGGAAAGGAAGACCCAAGCATAAAGCATATGGCAAGCAGCTCTGCTTGCTGATTGCTTGCTTTTTTGCTTGACTTAACCTTTTACCCTGAAGATGGAGGCAGGACATTCATCCAAACTGTCAGTCAAGTTCTATCAGACAACATCATTATTACATCCCAGAAAATACTACCCCTCATGATCTCATGATCACTACTGTAAGAATCTCAGCCCAAAAATTAATTGATTTTAAATTTATTTAATGACACATTCTCAGCTGGATAGGTTATATAACACTAGGTCCCAGGGGTAGAGTACCTTGCAGACAAAAGTGTACAAGGAAATGGTCACAGCCTACGTTGTGGTATTATTCTAATATCTGCTTGGAAGAACTGAGTAAAAGCACAATAACATTATATTAGCCAGTATCAGGGAAAAGAAATTTGAACCTATGACTTCCTGAATATGAAGCAAGAAACAGAATTTATATGCCACGAATATCAGTATAAATTTATTGTTATGAAAGCTAATAAATGGTAAGAAAATCTAAATCATTTATTTATTAATGGTTTATCTGATAATACTATCAGCAGTTCAGAGTACATAATGTCAAATGCTAGGAAGATTAGTGAATAATGAATTGAAAAGTATTGAAAAGAAGTGGTCATAGCCTAATTTGAGGTATTATCCTAGCCTGGCAGGACAAAGAAAGACCATAAAAAACTCAGAACAGTTTCGATTGAGGCCAAGATTTAAACGAGTCGCCTCCTAATTACAAATCAGAAGTGTTACTGTTTGAACCAACTTACTCAGTGGATGTCATATTCATACACCTATAAGAACTCTGATAACCATTTAGATTCCAACACATGGAAAACCAAAGAACTGATATATAAATAAAACTGTATGGCTAAATAAATTAAAAACAATGAATATCCACTGACTAACTGTACAGTGCTTTACATATGAAATTTCACTCACTTGATTGTTATTTGTGGTTTTTCATTATCCCCGACTGGCTTGACATTAACCAAGAAGTCAAGAATTGTCTGTGCCCAGTAGCTGCGGTAGGAGAGGAGACCCAGATCAGACAAGGGTTTCTCTGGAGATCCTGTCTTACCTTCAAACTTAGACAACTCATAACCTGCAGAAAGAATTCAAAGACACACGAGATACACTACTTGAAACAAAATACATAAAACTGAAGTTGAAAAATAAATTCTGAATATTAATTCACATAGTTCCGTTCCAGAAACAGATTCAACAGACAACAGTGAAGTCCATATTTAATGAATTTCTGGAGGAACTGGACTTTCTTACACTGTATCAAGGTTTCATAGAACACAAATTATGCAAAATGACAGCAAAAACTATTCACGTTTGTATAAGAATTACTGTAGAAAATTATGATAATTGCCTTACATATGCAATTAAAGAAATTTTCTAAACAAACAAATATATTTATTTAATCAATATGAAATGAATTACTGAAATAATAATTGCATGAAAAAAAAAAACACGAACATCAGTCAAAGAATCAAACCAACTATGATGCCAGAAGTGGTGTGGTTTCAGTAATGTTCAATACATTATTTCACTTGCATAGATTGTTTTATTTAAATGATCTCCATCAGAGGGAACATATTAGAGTGATCCTTGTTTCAACCACCATCACACAACTAAACCAAGGTATTAGTTCTGGAAGGATGAACATTTCTTACACTAAATTTACTAACTGAAATTCACTCTACCTGATCAAATAGGAACACTGTACATAGCATACTCTCAATTATCTGCTTTCTGGATTAACCATGGAGAATGTCAGAAGCTCTCATGTTAACAGTTTTCAGTAAAGTTAAATGTTGTTCATTACACGTCTCAGTAATTTGCATCAGTGATATTTATAATTTGCCGCAGACCACACAGCTCACTCTATTGTAATTTCTTGTGTCATTTCCTTAATGCTTTATGCACCAGCCTACCACCACAGAACAACGGTTGCTTCTACTGGAAACATAAATGTCTTGCTATTTCTGACGAGCAGTACAATTTGTAAGTAACAATTCCATGGCGTTCAGGCCGAATTCAGCATAGATAATGGATACTTCCTCATTTTCTTACTATTAATTGTATTTAATTACATGTGTGACTCCTCCATTATCACAGATAATCAAGAGTTCATTGTACGTATATGAGTTTGGCTTGAACTTGAAAAAATATTCACTAATGCAGGATTTCAAGAAATGTGAAAACGTTAAAATCAGGATTTAACTGGTGAGTTCTTAGTGGAGTGAGACTGAGTCCACTTGGTACTGTGGCCAATACTGGCCTACTGTACCAGCTCCAGATGATTGGTGAGGGTGATTGTGGAGCAACTGATGGAATGAAGATTGGCAGGGAAAACTGAAGTACTCAGAGAAAACCTGCCTCAGGGCCACTTTGTCCACCACAAATCCCATATGACCAGACCTGGGCTTGAACCTGGGCTGCCACAGTGGAAAGCCAGTGACTATCTGCCTGAGGTATGGTGTGGCCAAATAATGAGCTGATCCAGTGTATATCCAATATTTCAGCAGCAAGGGATTAGTGTACATCACAACAATGAAATTCTACACTAAGCACTTACTGAACTCTATGAGCAGCTTCCCATAGCCCTTCCTCTGATATGGGGGCATTGTGAGAATACAAGCCACATTGTAGTCCTCTGTAGATTCCTTTTCTTTACTGAAGTAGCCAACAATATGAAATCCACGTGAATCAAAGTCAGTCATAACATAAAAAAGGAAAGGATCTGTATCATAGTATAATGTCTTATGATCCAGGAAGAGTTTCGCTAACAAGCAGAGGTTCTGGGCATAAGCTTTGTTCTTTCGACCATCAATCTCAAAGAAGGAGATGCGCCCTTTTCTGTAGATCTCATTCCCAGGAGGATGACGTAAGTTGCATTTTGCCTGCATGTCATGGAATAGTAAATCAGTACAATTTTGGCAACATTCACTGTTCCTAAACATAAAACTGGACTCAGGTAATTCTAAAATACATACCTGCTATAGACAAAACAAAAATAATGCATTCATACACAAGTGATCTGATAAATTTGCAACTAGGGTTTGAAGAACACACTAATCTAAAAACAAATATTCATGTTGATAGCAACAAAGGCTCAAATTGTAAATTAAATAGTTATGCATTTTAAAATTGTCTATAAATTCTATCGACATCCGGTTTATTGCTTGGATTGGAAGCACAAAATTTATACAACTATGGTAGTTATTACTGTCCACTGTCCAAGGTATATTTCAGACACATTTATGGAGTACACTTTACTCCCATCTTTATGTGGCTGGCTGTCTTTATACTGACATATATACTAACCCATTTTCCTTCCTTAAGGATAAAAGTAGGCTTTTGAGTTCATGAAGGTGGGTATGTATGCAAGTGTTGGTCTGTCTGAGTGCCCCCCCCCATTTCAACTTTCCTATCAGCTGACAGATTCTCATGAAATTTGTTGAAAGTGTGGTATCACCGGAGGACTCTTGCTATTATCCTTCAATTTCCTACAATCAGTAACAACAATATGGCAGATGTACATGTGCGTGAAGTGGAAGCATTAGTAGCATCACTTACTTTAGGCGCACGAAATAACATATGACAATATGAAGGTAATTCAATATGTAAAGACACGAACATCATAATTTTATATGTACAGGCAATTCTATGATAAAGGCTGGCAACACCATTAATCATATGATTAGCAACCTGTCTGCACTTGCATCAATCTTTGCTGTCAGTGGTTTGCACACAGAGTTACTTTTAATGATGTCTCCAATAAAAGACTGTAATTTAGTTGCCTGTACATTTGTGAATGATTCAAGGAAATCGATGGGCAAATATCATGAAAATTGGAGACTTTATCAGCTAGTGTTCAGACATGGCTGCGCCATAGCTCAAGCAGTTAGTCGCTGGCTTCCCACCGTGGCAGCCCGGGTTTGATCCCGGGTCTGCAACCATGCAAGAATTTTCTTTAACTTCTGTCTTGATGGCAGTAACTAATGAACCACTGCAGTTAGATATATGAAACTTGTTACTGACATAGACACAGTATACTACTAGTAAGCCAACAGTTACAAACAAAAACTCTTGAGGATATATCCAACAAATTTAATGTAGGCACAATCCTAAAGTTTATTCATAGATTGTTGTTACTGGTTGTTTTCAAAATTGATGACAATGAATCAAGCTCAGAAATTTCTGTATACTACCAAGAATAATGGTAATAATTTTTCTTTTTGTTTGATATTTAATGGCAATGTATAGAATTAATGACAGGACGAGTAACAAATAAGGAGGGAGCAATTTGTGAATTAAGCACAATGGTTCTGTGGGGTTCTATTGTCAACGATGTGTGTAGTCTTGTCATTACTCCGATGACAACCCACTTCTTCGGAACAGTTTGTTGGCCCTGAAAAGGACCGTGGCTGCTGAGATGATTGACTGGTGAGGTAGCGCGGTGCGCGCCGGTAAGGAGAAAGGCTAGTGAATGGCGAGTGGCCTGGCCGCAGTGCGGCCGTGGCTGGAGGTTGCTTGGTTGCCGTGCGGCAGCGTGAGTTGGAGGTTGCTTGATCGCAGCGCGGCAAATGGCGGAGGTTGCTGCTGGTGGTGAAAGGCTAGTCGAGCGCGGTCGTAGGAGCCATGAGGCAGTGGCTACGCCAGATGGCCAGTGAGTCGAACCGTAACACGACCACCGGCGAGTCCAGGCGCGGTGCCCCAGTGAGTCGGGTGTGAGAGCGCTGGAGGGCCGAGGCAGTCGTGCCCGGCGCAGCCTGCCGATGTCTCCGAAGACCGAGCGCTGACGACGAAGCCTGCTGGCTGAAGTTGCTTGATGTGGCTAGCTCGTAGGCTGATGAACTGAATCGATGAACTGAATTGAACTGAATAGAACTGAATAACTCGGCTCTGGAGTCGCTCCCTTTTTATACGCTGGTCGGTGGGGCGGAGCTAAACTCGAAAGTGAGGAGGAAGAATTGATTGGCTAGCGCGCGTAATGGTGTAGACGCGGGCTAGCGCCGAGCGTAGTATAAATGCGATCGTTTGAAGCAATCTGATTGGTTAGCGCGCGTGATGGTGAAAAGAGATGTGAAGAGCGAGCGTTGCAAATATGCGTGATAATGTGGGATGTTCCCACAGTTCATTATTCAAAGGAGATTTTATACAATACAAATACACCTTACACATGGACATGTTCAACTTAATACTGATATGGTGAAAAGAGATGTGAAGAGCGAGCGTTGCAAATATGCGTGATAATGTGGGATGTTCCCACAGTTCATTATTCAAAGGAGATTTTATACAATACAAATACACCTTACACATGGACATGTTCAACTTAATACTGATATGATGAATCAATTATTATTACCAATATCTAAATGATTAACAGCAAATGCAACATATTTTCCTCTCTAATTTGAAACCAGCTACTCTTACCAGATGTCTCTCCAGACACTTCCGGCTTTTCCGGTACTTCAGGCAAAATTCACAAATATATATGCACTGTAAGTGAACCATCTCCTGCAAAAAAATAAGAATAAATAAAAACTCACATAGAAGAGTCTGATTCTTGAATGAAGGCAGATGTTGGATAATAAAAAGCGGAAAGGAAGAATTTACGTCATGAGCCCTGGCTGTTGCTCAACCAATCAAATGCAGTCAGATGTAGCTCCTGTTAACATGCAGTCTCTCTCATTCATTTATTCATTCAGTCATCCATTAATTTTATATTTTATATGTGTGGTACTTTATTAAATAATGTTGTTTAGTGAGTTTTGAAAATGGACAGAGAATTAAGAAAGCACAAGGTTCTCCACAAAAGAGACAGTAAACTGTTGTGTAATGTGTACTTTTACTTCAAGGCTGAAGCATGCCCAGTGAACCCACCATCAAGACACCATAAATAATCCCATACCAAAAGCAATGGCAACACAATACTACTATCCACTCCATTTTTCTGCACCCCTTGCACTAAAGCAAGACAATGAGACACAATGACATATATATTAGGAACATTCCATACACAGCCTCCCAGGCATAAATTTGACAAGCCACAGCAGACATTTTGAATTAGATTTCATTACCAGGCAATACAGGCACACAAGTGTGATTACTAAATAAAACTCATCATGGCACAAGTGAAGCCATATGTGGCAGAGAAGAATAGCATTTTTAAATTTCCTTTTCATCACACATGACGGCTGTTCAAATCCAATAGCAGCCCTGCTAACAAACATGGCCGGCCACAGGTGACCATACACTAGCAGCTGACCACAAGCTGTGCAAGGGAATGGAGTATTACAGCTAACAGAAACAGTGTAACACAGTTAGGTGCCACAATTCCAGATGCATAACGGTCAAACAAGATCAATCAGCTGTCATTCAGTTCCTTGGTGCTGAAGGTTGCCAACCAGCCACAATATGTGCCTCTGAGATCTTCATACAGCTATCAAATAAAAGCATCTTGACACGCTCACAAGGGTTACAATCACACTGCGTAGCAATGCCTGTCCCCATGTGGCCTGCCATGTCCATACGCTGGATGATGTTGGATCTTCCCCAACAGAGCCTGGACCTGTTGCCATGACTATCCCATAAAAAAATCACTAAGGCCAAAGATAAGGCTGCAACACCAAAGCGGTTCCAACAGAAGCCAAGGTAGCTCTTAGCAGACAGGATCCATCAGCTGGTGCATGAATCGGATGTCTTCCCCAACACCAACAGGAATTATATTTAGTAGACTCTACTCCTCTGTCCAGATCAATCCCTGAATGGTTTCATTTCAACAAGCCTAACATCAGTGACACACCACACGATGAAGTTATAGCACACAGTAGGCATGTTACTACCATAACAGGCAAATGAAAGGTCACAGATATGTGCTATATTCATACAAAATTAACATAAATAACAAACATTTGTTTTTCTTACAGATGTAAATATTTTACTGATAAATAGAAACAAAGAGAACTAACAATGGCATTAAAAGGACATCAATGAACATAAGGGACTTTCATACAGAACAATAAGGCTTATTTTGGACTTTATCCATTGTATATATATATATATATATATCAGACGATGGATAAAGTCCAAAATAAGCCTTATTGTTCTCTACAGCATACACCATCGTCAGAATCCTTTCGAGTCTATAAGGGACTGCTGTTTCCATAAAGTTTCCTGCTCAAGTATGACGCACCTTCCAAGACCATTTACATAGCTAACCTGTGGGTATGGTGAGAAGTACCAGGGACGAATTCTGTGTCTTCCAAGTTCTATCATCTCAACATTCTTCATACGTGTAACAACATCATCATGATGTGCTACCATAGAGCCAGTACTGCGTGGACAGGATGCAGGGCCAGTAGTAGATGCAGGGCCTGATGCATCCTGAGAGTCCTGCGGAAACAATACCATGTGCTGAATATCGAAAGAGGGAGCATTCTGAACTTTGCATGCAGCAGAATTAAGTTTAGGCACACTACAACATTCTTACACAAAGCAGAATTAAGTGCGAGTACACAACAGCCCTTCCTTAAAATTCAGCCAGTTTTCAGCATATAAATGTCCAGCAAGTTTGCATACACCTTCAGTTCTCTGCAGTTTATTTTTGGGTGATGCATTATACAGCAGATAAAACTTATGAATAAGCACTTTAAATCTCTTGACACCTGAAACTGATTTGACAGTGTCACTGTCTGACAGTTCTATTCACTATCACATACAGAACAAACTAGTTAAGTTTCTAAGTAGTCTTCTGCATGAATGAAGACTTTCCAGTAAGGAATAAGAAATTACTTTTCACATAACACTCTGGATTCTGATCTGCACCAAAATTAAGTTTACTACAAAGATTCATAACATAAATTCAAATGTCTGTTATTACTGTCAATTTTTTATTCACTGCAGTGGACCATCAATTACCAGCAAAATTTCAATTTACAACCTCTCAATTTTATTAACCAAATTCCTTCTCATTTCAGCTTTAATGATAATACATGCATTTGCTGAGTGAACAACATGGCCTTTGTCAATTCCATTTAGATCTTATAAATCAATTTCAGATTCAAAATTATGAAATTACTGGTTTTCTCTTGCCACCTTACATGCTACGGGGAAAATCTGTTTCAGTAATCACATTTTTTAGTCTTTAAACAAAAAATCTCAGGGGTCTCTATCTCTCCCTTTGGCAAGCAATATAAAGCAACTTTATGCCCTGTGGTTGACCACCTCTGTGGTCTAGTGGTCAGAGTTCCTGGCTACAGACCCAGAGGTCCTGGGTTCGAATCCCGGCGCTACCAGATTTTCTGAGAAGTAGTGGGTCTGGAACGGCGTCCACTGAGCCTCATGAGGATAAATCAGGAGCTATTTCCTGGAAATAATGGCTCCTGTTTGGAAAACCGAGATTAACGGCTGTGGGGTTCTGTTGCACTGACCATGTTACACACTCTATCTACTAAAGTTGCCACTAACTTCGCTGACAAGCGGTGGTCGCTCGGTCAGTATAATTCTCTTGTGGACTACAGGCCACGGAGTTATGCTCTGTGGTTTCGTGATAAAAACTCTGTTTCCCATAAAGACAAAAGCTGTTGCTGTCAATTTTAATTAAAATAGGTTATTTCATTGCTTTCCAGTCCTTTAAAAACTTTTGTTCATGCTTCCAGCTGTTGATACAATGTACAGTCAGGTTTCTTATTTCAGATATTTAACCAAGTCATTTTTTTTTGATCAACAGTCTAGCAGCTGAGCCGGTCACTGTCAGTTTGCTCTTGGAAACTAGTGGAACCGGGAAAATAATTGGTCACTGTCACAGTTAACTCTTTCTCTTCATTCACTTTCTCACTTGTTCAGTTTTTCTTATCCAGGAAATTGGGAAGAAACTCGTTAACATGGCAGTTAATTCACAAAGATGGTGGAATAAGAAAGGTTATTTTCTCAAGAACTCAAGGGGGACATACTTAAGATAAAACCCGGCGGAGGTCGTGGAATTTTTAAGGGCGGAAAAATTCAGGGAACAAGTCCTCCGGGAGGGACTTTAAGCTGTGGGTCCCATGTCGTAGCTTTACGGCACATAAAAGAACCTCATATCACCTAAGGAGGTCATTGAAGCAAATTCAAGGACATTTCAAGGACTGCCCAACAGTAGTCTCTAACGCCTCTGATAGATGGGGGAAGCATTATAGATATATAAGCATATTTATAAGCATATTTGTACATAGCAAATTAAAATACAATACCATAAATTTAGAAAAATTCACCATTGATAAAGACATTGAAGCATGTGCAATTCGACTGCCTAGGAACTCATTAGGAGGAAAAAAACTTNCTCTCTAACTAACTAACTAACTAACTACTTAAGATTAAGTTGCATTGTAAGAAATAAAAAATTAAAAACTATTTTAACAAAATCAGATGCATTACCTCACTCTCAAGTGATATTCCTTTTCTTTTGCGGGATATTTTTTTCTGAAGGGCAGCTGCAAGAACGGCGCTTCCATTGAGCTGCATTTCAGGACCGCCAGGCGGGGATGCCGGACGTGACAGTGAGTTTCCACCTCCCAGCTTCTTAGGCGTACCAGTACCACCAGCTTGACTTGGTACATCTCTACGGGGAAACTGAACCTTTCTTGTGTCCAATCGCTCTTCAGTCACCCATTCATCTAACCGCTTATTAACTGAAAATTGCCACGCACTTATACACTAGTGATTCAGTTTAAACGTTTTCTAAAATCTGTAACTCTGAGTCTATCTGGAAATGAAAAAGAAATATGTCAGTTCATCTGGTAGTACACAGCAGCTTGGCCATCACCCATTTTAAAAAATAACAATTAAACAGGAGAAAGCAGATTTAAAACTAAGATCAGTCCATGTACTCCAGTCTTAGGACATCTTGTCCACACTTCCTGGACTGAAACAGAACCTAAATAGTTTTACATAACACATGATCGAAGCTGCCGATGTGTTGCTCAGCATACAAGATCAGTCTTTGTAAACAGTGACAGCATATACAAATCAAGGATACATTATGTTCAATCATGCCATTGTATCTCAGAGCACCTGCAATCTCTCTGGATGAATAATCTTTCACAAACAATGCAAATGTGCATGGATGGTTCCAAAGTCAGATGAAGTGAAACCACCTGAACATGAAATGTAACTGTCTAACCATTGAGGGGGGGAAGGCTTCCCTCATGAGCAAGCCCCGTAATACCATTTTGGTACGTTACTTTCTTTTTTATTGCTAGTAGGGTGGGACTAAGTCCCTTGTACTGCGGCCACTTCTGGCCTATTGTACCAGCCCCAGATGATAGGTGAGGGCGATTGTGGAGGAATTGGTGGAATGAAGATTGGAAGGAGAAACCGAAGTATTTGGAGAAACCCTGCCCCAGCACCAATTTGCCCACCACAAACCCCACTTGACCAGACCCGGGATCAAACCAGGGCAGCCACAGTGGGGAGCCAGCGACTAACCGCTTGAGCTATGGGGCGACCCTTATACATTACTTAGTCTGAGACTTTCCAGTATTTTGTAACTAAAAACTAAAGAAATGTCATAGGATGCCAAGGATGACAGTTACTGCTAGCTGAATAAAGAACTGACAGGCTAACCCAACATGCCAACCTGTTCACTCCCTAAGACCACAGTTTCATTCATGTCAAGTAGTGATTATTAGATCTAAACAACCTTCATACTTACAATCCACATAGTGTACATAGTAGCATTTGGAGCCCTTCACTTCCTTAACACTGATGATCTCTGCAAGAGCTAGAAATGAACACAAAAACACACTGGTTAAATATGTAAGACAATACACAGTGCTACAGTGCTACTATTTATACTCTGTTCATAACATCTACAAAATGGACAATATACCAGAAGGAACAAGTTCACAATTCATAATAAACCAACAGCTGTAACAAAGGACAGACATAATTCAGAACAACTGAAACTCTATTACCATGCACATACTCTTGTACTACGATTCTCTGATAGCATGTTCTCCTGTGACTGAGATATCACATTAACCATGCTTACAGGAATTCCCACATGCTGACTTCCATATTATTATATTCTAGCATCCTGTTGCACTTTTCACTTAGTGTCAATTAGTTACAGTCTCACATGCAACACTTTGTCCTATAAGATTTATTACCTTTAAAAGTTTAAAAGTCCATCATTAAATGTATCAACCAATGTGGTCATCATCAGGTGTTAAAATCTTTGGTGAGGAAACTGCCCTGTTCTGTTGTTGCCTTTTTATTAGAAAGATAATCAAGTCTTTAAAGACAAAATCCTCAAATGGATATGATGAAATTTCCACTAGAATGTTAAAAGCAAGTATGCCATATATAATTTCGCCATTTACTTATATTTGTAATCAATCTCTTGCCCAGGGAATTTTTCTGGATAGACTGAAGTTTGCTGTTGTCAAGTCAATTTTCAAAAACGGTATTACGTAAATATGAACCATCTAACTATAGGCCTATATCACTACTGTCAACCTTTTCCAAAGTATTCGAGAAGGTTATATATAACAGACTGTATGAATATATTGACAGTAATTTTATTTTAGATAATAATCAGTATGGCTTTAGGCCCAATTCATCTCCAGAAAAAGCATCCTTCAAGCTGACTGAGGAAATACTAAAAACTATGAACAATAAACAATTTGTTGGAGGAATAGTTTGTGAATTATGTAAGGCATTTGATTGTGTCAGCCATGACATACTTATAAAAAATTACAGTTTTACAGAATTGGTGGTAAGTTAGGTGCCTTAATTAAATCTTACCTTAAAGGCAGATACCAAAGACTAAATCTTGATGCAAATGATTCTATAAATAGCACATCCAGTTGGGCAGAAGTAAAATTTGGAGTGCCCCAAGGTTCAATTCTTGCCCCACTTTTTTTTTTTATATATATGATATAACTAAGGTATCAATTAATGGGGCAAAAATTATTTATATGCAGATACAAGTATAACTGTGATTAATCCAGAATATGACGACTATAAATTAACTATGACCAGTATATTTTACGAGGTTAATACATGGTTTAGAATCAACCTGTTAAAACTAAATGTCAATAAAACCCATATTCTTCAGTTTATAACAATGAACCATGATGACTATGGCATGCATAACAACATTAGTCATAATTTGCCAGCTAATTCTGAGTGTATTAAATTTTTGGTCTTAAATACTGATAATAAGCTATCTTGGAAAAATCAGATTAACTACCTTGTTACTAAGTTTGTCATGCTTTATTATGAGAACCATTAAACTTATAGTGTCATTTAGGAGCTTGAGAATGATCTATTTTGATCCTTTGAGTTTGCTCTAAAGAGATTTTTATATGCAAACTCTTTTTATTCATTGAGTGAGTATTTTAATTACAAATGTAAACGCATTTGAGTGTATCGATATTGTATAATACAGGTTTATGCTTAATGTTTATCTTTTAATGTTTTACAATGTATCTATTTTATATCATGTACTATGTATGTGCTGTAGGCTAATGCATTGCTGCATTATGAATTTAGGCTGTCATGATAGTAACCACATCCACAGAATGTAATTTCTTGCCGGATCTATGGTGAACTAATAAATTATGATGATGTTAAATATACATAAGTCCCTTCTTTTACAACAAATGGGAACACAACCCACCAACTCGAACACATGTGCGCATCGAGAGGACCAACATATATTTAACAACATAAACAAGAACAGAACAGGGCAGTTTCCTCACCATAGATTTTAACACCTGATGATAACCACACTGGTTGAAACATGTAGTGATGGACTTTTAAACTTCTAAACTCAATAAATTTTATAGGAAATAGTGTTGAATGTGAGACTGTAACTAACTGACACTTTTGATTTCCACTTTCATTTTGGGGTTTCTTTCTTTAATGAAGTAACAGATATGTTTGAGTCATTAGTGAGTGTAAAAAGGCAAGTTGGATATAGCAAACAGAATACCAATAGTCTACTGCAGTGAAGAACTGTCACCATAAACGGAAATTTATCTACAATTTATAATAAATAAATAATAATCAACTAAAACTAAGTCAGTCATCAAAATAATCTCAGCTTAACGCGAGCCACACAAATTAAAGAGGTTTAAGGAGCACAAATTACATAAGTTGTACGACCAAACTTCCTTGTTACTTCTGCCTTCTAAAATTACTATTATAAAACCTAACCAAAACCAAACATATCGCAAACTACAAATATCAAAATTCGTCAACACTGCAGCATTATTTGAAAGTAATAGCAACACACTTACGCCAGTCGTCCCCTCCTTGCATCCGGACAGGCAGTCGACATCCCTCAACAAGTGATGACTGAAATAAAATATTTATCATCATCCACCCACAGTGATTCGGAATCATATGAAGTGCTTCTCAGTAACTAGGGGCGAAGAGATCTATATCAAGTCCTTTAAATAACACCTTGCATTCTGTACAGTTAGAGTAAGCACTACACAAATTGTGACCTCTGCTAAAAACTAGCGGAAATTACAGTGATAACATCCTTCACCGCTCTACGATTCTTATTCCGACTTGGTTATAAATGGTGTCCCTTCTCACATTACAACCTGCTTACCACTGAATCACAAATAGTTTCTCTTTCATCGCCATCATCATTCATTTTTGCAACCCTTTCCTTTTTTCTTCCTCACTTTACTTTGACCATCTTTTGGCTTTTATTATTCACACACACAAAACCATTCTTAACGATTTTTAATACCTAGTACAATACACAAAACATTGTACAATCGGACATGGCCACCCAAATCATTCAATTCGTGCATACGATCACGCTCATCAGGATAGCCAATGCCACGGTTGGAAAATCTCTCTCATTTAGCGCGAACGAGCGATTATGGAGCCGAAACCTATACCCAGGATTTCTTGTAACGTATATCTGTCATTCCTTGTTGTCACACGGCTGCACGGATCGTCAGTGTAGCGCTTTGTTCAAATTCTACTTTGCTATTGTCCTTAACTCTAATCGCAGAATACACCCAAATTTTTAAATATTTGTGTGGATGTTAAAGAAAAATCAAACGAAAATGTTGAAGTTTAAAGTGATGACACGAATAAGTACATAAGCAAAGATTTGTATCCGATTTCTCATCCAAAGTTGTTTGACGGACTGTTTTACAAATACAATAGCGTTAGAAAATCATTCTTCCTAATTCAGAATAGTATAAAATACGAAAATATGGATAAACCTTATCTGTTTCCTGCAGGATGTGAGGAAACGAGGTGTAAAGTAAGATACTCTTAAGCAAATGGTTGTGTACTGAAGCTGCATCTTGTTGGATAGGTTATGTGTTGTATATAATCCAAACCTAAAAATATATTATTTTTAAGACTTCAGTAATTTTATTATTATTAGTATCAGTAGTAGTTGTTTTGTGACAGTTTATGTAAATAAGCTTTTTAGTTAGGTTTACTATGGGGTGTAGTGAATCTAAAATATACTTATGGTTACTGAAAAATTCAGAATATGCTACCAAAAGTATGCATTTCTCCAATTAACCTTGAACATTGTTTCTGCTGAGGGATGGAAGGCAAAAACTGGTAAAGGAATGCATGGGAATTGATTGCAAATACTGATTTAACCCTTTTTTCTAAATAAGTATAAAACACTATTTTCCTTGTCCTAGGGCAGTTGTTCATAGGATTCATTAATTAGAATGCTCTGCTGCTTATATCTGAGGCACTTTTAAGTAATTAATTTCAGTTAATTATAAATTGATCATAGTGAACTGCAAATAAGGAAATAATGGGAAGAAGTTGCAGTCAGTATTGTACATATTATTTTTCAAATTCAGGAAAAGTGAATGAGATTCTGAATCAGTCAAGAGTGAAATTCTGCTTTTTTGTGTTAAAGCTAAGGTTGGGAAAATCCTGTATATACAGTTCTGATGACAATTTGAATACAACATGTTGATCTTTTCAAAAGACAACCCTTATAATGCTAACACTGAGCAAGTTGGCCCAAGTGGAAACGCTTCTTTCTCATATTTGGGAGACGAACAGATAAAAATCTCAGCTGGAACACCAACCATTTTGACTGAAGTTTTTGTGGTCTTCCCCAGTGTCTCTGGGCCAATTCCAGGATACTGCCTCAGATTAAGCTACAACTTCTTCTGCAATTCATTATTCACTAATATCCAATCATCTGACACTATACACAAGTCCAAGTAATTGACAGTGTCACTGAATAAAACACAAATAAAATACTGTGGTAACAGCTGAAAAATCTTATATTGTGCAGCTGATGTAAATGTCATATTTCTGTCACTTGTTTTATAATTGACTGCTTATAAGAACACTTCATTGACCATTATTACAGCAATAATCTGTGGACAGGACAACCAAAGGCACACTGATGATTTAGATAATTTGCTAAGTCAGTGCTAAGATTCTGGTAGTGGGAATTCTGACTATATATGTAGATGGAACCATTTGTGAGAAAGTGAGTTTCACAAATTGTTTCCATAACTTCTTGTTCATTGTGGAAACCTGTCTAAAACAGCCTACACTAAGTACACCAAAAACTGACTGAATTAAAATTACACATTATATTTCCTGTTGTACTTACTTAAGGGCTTCTGCTATTGTTATCCAATAATATCAGATCACAGCATCAATATGAATATTTCTTGTAAATAATTTAATAACACTGTCCATATTGAAACTCAGTATCATCAGATGGTAGTATGACTTGTGAACTGTAAAGGATTTCAAGGAAGCAGTTACTATTACATTTTCCTGGGGGTACTAGGAAAACCACGAACAATCTCAGCCATGATAGACAGTGTCCTGCCAGAGATTCGAAACAAGGAACTCTCAAATACAAGTCTCAGAGTGTCACCTTTAGTCTAACCTGTTTGATAACATAAAATTATGAATTAGATTATGTTGTCCTCCATCCCTTTAATAACATCAAATATAATCTCTATGTGCATTGCTTTTTCCATTGGTACTGTAATTGGTATTTAATTTTGTAGGTCGGACTTGCTGATAAGTCGTCTTGCCATATTGTGTCAGCAGCAGTAGGAGACATAATTCGTCACAGTATGGAAAGTGCTGGTGGGTTTCGTCAGCAGTGTTATGAATTATTGCAGGTACGACCAACTTCATATCAAACTCACCTAACTGTGGGAGGTCCAAGTTATGGCAAATGAACAAACATAACATTTCAAGATTTCCAGACTATCCCCAGCAAAAATATAAACCTCAAAGAATTGAATCCATTAATTAATAGAAACATGAAGTTCATATAAACAGTATTTAAGAATTAGTTCTTATCTTCAAGAACAACCTAAGAACTAAACAAAATAAATAAATAAAAATACTCTGTGGGAAAAAGTCTGCTTACTAAATGTTAAATCAGGCGGTACATATAGTTACCACTGTGATCTAAACAAATAAAACCATCTGAACAGACCTGTATTGAAACCAGCTGCCGAGTTACATAAACTGTAACAAGGCCATGTGCATATGCCACTTGTGTAGCAAGTCTGGTGTATTCACTTCATTTTGTCTTGAAAAACACAAGCCCTGCAGAAAAAGCATGCTGCACAGAAACTGTATTTAATTTTTCTATACTTTTTTTATTCATGGTTTATTTAACAGCTCAGACTATAAAGTAAAAGAAAAGGTAGATCAATTGAAAAATCCAATGACCTCACTGGGAACTGAACTCATGACCTTCCAGCTTGTAGCATTGTGCTTCAATCAACTACACTACTGCATGCCCCTCAAAATATATAGTATAGCATCAAATTGTAAGACATGAGAGTTGAGATTCTCACAGCAGTGACTATGAAGAGTACTGTCCTCCGAGATATGAAGCTATGTTGTCTGGTAGATCATTACTGAAATTTCAGATGAATATACTGCCTCCATTTTCAGGCTCACATCTCAGAAGACACCAATTTTCAAATGGCAGGATGAGTGATATATATTACAAAGTATGTAGAAAGAAGTAATCATATCCTGATTTGAAGTACTAATCTGGCATTTGCCTGGACAGACTGAGCAGAACCATTCAGGAAAGCCAGTCTCTGGGCCAAGATTTGAGCCTGAGACCTCTCAAATATGAAAAATGAGCGTTACTCACTTGACCATGATGTTCAGTGTTTACAATTTCGAGTTCATGCAGTGGTGTTGTATNACAATATCTGCCCCATACAAGAGGGACGATGGGAGGATGAACATGAGCCTGCATGGTTTATGAATTTTAATTATTGACAATGCAAAATTTTTAATTAGCATCAAGAAATTTTATATAATTTTTTAAAAACTTTACATTCCCAGGAAACTGCTGTGTTTGTGAAATGTTCTATTTTGTGTACTATGCATTGTAGCATATAAGTGTACGTACTTTACGTCTAAACAACTTATGTGATGGTGGTTTCCTATTTGTAGTGATGTTTGCCCTCTGAAGATGGTCCACAGAGACCGAAACATTTAAGGGTGTTAAGTTTTTCATGTAGTAATAAACTTACAGGTCACATTGGACAGAGTGATTTATATTTGTAATTGTTAGTGTGACGGACCAGAATGAAACAAATAAAAAAAAAACAAGTAGTTAAATTCTAACACTTGTTCCAGTACATGAATTTAAATTGCAATATTTCTGTGCAGGTGACTAGCACAAAGGATGCTGAAATAGAACTGGAGAGAAGACTGATGAACATCATACACAAAGCAGTAAAAACAGTGCAGGATGCAAAACACAGTGAAGAGACAAATACATATGAACTGTGGCTGGACAGGAGCTCTCTGAGCTGGGACTCTGTGACAAAGGAACAGGACAGTGATACTGCAGACAGACGATTGGTCCATGCAGGAGACAGGGCATGAATGATCCTGCAGTCTAATTTGCATATTAGACTATGTAATACTGATGTGGCCAATATGTTATGGATTTAGTAAAAATAACTGCCTGAGATCAACCCTATCATGGTCATGATGCATATGGATATTGTGTGACATTATGGCAAAACTGGCTGTCAGTCACATTTAGAAATATTATGTGCATATTGGAGAGTGAATTAAAACATTGGAGTCCAACTTATGGATACAATTTTAAACTAGTTAACTAACTCCTTGGAACAGAGCCCTTCTTGAGAAACTGATAGTTGCTCAAGTAATTCTCTTCCTTTTATATAACCCACAATTCAATTACTATGTTCACAAGTTACCAATGGATCATACCATGCGACAGTCTATGCCTGTCCACATCTTCACATTGTGTTCAATTAAAATTCAGTTTACTATCCCATTTATGCTTTGATCTCTTAAGTGGTATCTTCCATTCACGATTTAACTAAATTTGTATGCATTTCTTATCTCCTACATGCACACTAAAGCATTTGCCTGCCTCCTTCCTCCTGAGTCACTACACAGTTCTCAGAAGAAAGGTGGGCAAACCTCAATCATCACTGATTCTTTTATAATTGGCATCATACTCCTGAGATGGGCAGGATGTCTATGTAAAGGCTAGAGAGAACCTACTTGCTAATCAGCAGAGTCCTATCCCGGACAAGCATACATAAGGCTTTGGAGTTATTTTCTCTACTAGAAAAAGAATGTGTTAATACAGTACCAATAATACTTTTAACAAATATAAGCACTTAAAGAGTCTGGCAACAATGCATACACAATGAAAATCACCTCAAATAGGTTCACCCTTCATCAAACAATTACAAAGATAATAGGTACGGCTATTATATCACTGACACTAGTCAGAATTGTACAACTTACTTACTTACCCATGGAGCTGAGCCCTTCTGGAGGAGCCACCAATTCTGCAGCTACTCAAGAATTCCCCAGCATTTTATGGAACCCGAAGGTTCATCACTGTTCACAAGAGCCCTCCACCGGTCCCTATCCTGAGCCAGGTCTATCCAATCCATACCTTCCCATCCTATCTCTCTAAGATCCATTCTAATATTGTCCACCCACCTACGCCTTGGTCTTCCCTGTGGTCTCTTTCCTTCTGGCTTTCCCACCAATATCCTACACGCTTTCCTTGTCTCCCCCATTCGTGCTACATGACCTGCCCACCTCATCCTCCTTGACTTGATCATTCTAATTAGAATTGTACAAAGTAATTCAAAATTGAGAATGACTCACTAACAGGGTTACAAAAATCAGCCATATCTGATAACAGTTGGAGCCAATATGACCTACCAAAACTTGCCACATTTTACTTAACCTTCCAGAGCTACACAACTCCACGTTCCTAGCAAAGTTGACACCACCACCCAAGTTCCAGTTGTACAGCATCTGAAAGCATTACTTGGTGGAGAAGGTGAAGATTACTTCACCATATATACCAAGAACAAAAGTATTTGCTTAAAGAGCAACAAATCAGCAAATAGAAGTGTTACGGAACCCTATTTTACATGAAAATATTTCTCCATGGAACAACAGAACAAACGCAGTAAAAGCCTGAAGTAGCTCACCTACATTGCTCTAGAATTTATGCTGACTCGATATAAGGACACTGATTATGAGAATAAACAGGCTTACCTTGCCACAGAACAAGCTAATGCTATCATTGCCTCTTTCTGAGCCCAACAGAATTACACATTGTTCCTCCACTCTCTCCATACAACAAGGGCAGTAACTCAGGATAAACCAAAATGTGATATATAATTTCCAGTGCAACATAGCATAATTCCCCATCACAAACACACAAAACAATAACTTAATGGTGCACTGTGCTCGTCACTGAGACATGAAACAAAGAGGTCAAATGGCTGTATGCACATAATGATATACTTGGCTGCAACAATGACATAAGGATAGATTAGTAGGAAGAAACATGTTACTTGACATCACAGAGGCTGCAATTTAGGGATGATGATGTCAATATGGGAATGACAGTAGAAAGTACTGGATGAGCTAGAGAGATCTCGTACAATATTAGGAAAGAGATGGGGTCATTTCAGAGCTGACAGTATTATTATTAAACTCAGTTCTGGCAGTGACGACAGTGACTGTGATGTGACAGCAGTGAAACGGACGAGTACAACAATATTACGCCTGATGAAGTCAGTGCTTACACAGCCACTATGAAGTAAGCAGTGAATGTTCTCGCTAAGGCAGATGTTCATCCTGATCCATCCTGTCTGCCACACCTTTAATGGTTCTGACTTCCTGCATTCCTCACAAGTCTCTAGATTAGAGTCTTGTACTGTAGACACCAAAGCCACCATGGGAATTCATAGTAGTAAGTCTATATGACCTTAACGCTATGAAGGTCATGATGATGGATGGTTTGACATCAATAATCAATTAAAATGACTGAAATATATGAATTGCTTTATTTACAAGAAACAAATAACACACAACATTCATGCACTTCAGTTTTGTACTTTAAAATAAGTAAACCAATACAGCTTCTCTGCTAACTGTTAATCTTCCACTGTAATGGTATATTATTTTGTGTCTTCAGTCTTAGACATCTGCTGCTCTTTATCTAACAAAGCTGACTTGATGCCTGCTTTACGAAGTTCTTCTACCAACTCCCCATTCTGGTGCATTTGCAACATGATGTCGCAACCTCCTATAAATTCACCCCCGATGAAAACCTGGGGTATGGTTGGCCAATTTGAGTATGCCTTTATTCCTAAAAGGAAGTAAAACAACTGCTATGAAGACCTGAGGCTCTCATGCTGGTATTAAGATTAGGATATTTAGGGATCTAATGCTCAGTAGTTTTGAAGTATCTGAAAATGGAGGCAACAGGTTGGTCTCAAAATGTCTGCATCCTATCTACAAAACTACATAGCATCACATCCAAGGATATCATAATCTTCAATTGATATGAAGTGGCAAAGATGAAGTACACATGTAAAAACAAAGACAAACTCGTGGAATCATCACGAATATGTTCTAAAAACTCTTGTGGAGTTGCAAGCTCAGTATGTATCTCTTGAGACATCTGTCAACAGATCTCTTTACCTGATGGGTTCAAACTTTACTCCCTTACCATCTTGCACACTACAATTCAAGCAGATTCATAAATAAACGTTCAACTTTTTTTTGCTGATTCTTAGGTTACTAAACAATGGTGTTTCAACTACACAAACTGTATGCCAGCAACTGATATGGAAATGATCATTAATAGTAAATATATAAGAATTCTGAATGGATCTATAGTACTTATGTATTAATGGGTGACCCAGACAACTAGAAATTTTCCACCATGTTGTCCACCACACTAGTGCTGCCATCCATACAGTTTATTTATATAAACAAAACCCTTAAATGTTGAAGGGCTTGAGATATTTATTTTTAAAAACAAAACCAAAAGCCTAACCCTGTGAACTTGTCAGAGAACAATTCTAAGTTCAGGCTTTAGGTCTTGTTTTTACAAATAAACTTATAAGGTAAGCAGCACAAATGTTGTAGGCAACATTGCAAGAACTTTTAAAGTTACTCAGGTCACTCACTAATACATCAGTACCAAGGACTGTTTCAACTGATAAATATAGTGCTCACTGATAAATATAGTGCTCATCATTTAATTATTATATTAGTATAAAATTATATTGTTCTTCTTATTAGTCTATTATTGTATCATTGTATTGTCTTATTGTATCGTTGTATTGGATTATAGAGTGTTTTGACTTGTCCTATGTCATGTATAATGATCCATGGATGTGAAATGAATAAATAAATAAATAAATAAATACTGCCTCTAAGAGCGGCGGACGAAACCTCACACACGCTCACACAGGTCTCGACCAATCAGAGCCTAAACAAACCAACTTGAATACCCACAATTACGTGCGGTTAAATAGGCTAAATAGCCGAAACAT